GGTCTCTGAACTGTTACACAACAGCACAGCTCGGGCTTAGAGTACACAGCGCCTACTTCTGGTAGAAAAACAAATTACTTTGACCAGGAGCTATATCGTACTTTGTTTTGTGGAAGAATGCTGATATTAATTTTTGAAAGAGAGAATGAAAAGTAGCTGTCCTGTCAGCAATGGTATGAAACAAAAACCTTGTTAAGATAAGCTTCCCTCTCAGCATTTCTCATAAACTAAGGAAAGCACTGCCTTTCTAGTACTCAAAATCTAGGGAAAGTAAATGTAATGTAATCTTTTTGCTCCTTGTTGTGGCAATCTGACCATTTGCTTTGAGAGAAGAAAGATTATCAAGACACCTCTGTACGGCAGCCTCCATTATCTGTTTAGTAAAGATAAAATGAGATCATGTGGTACATTTTTGTTCAGATCTGTGAGTTTCACAAGCCTCTTAAGGTCCAGTTTTTAAATTTTACTCTATCTTCAGAAAACTTTTCTCATTCCTAGATGCTTACATTAAGGGAAAAAGCATACCTGAAATGCAAGAAAAAGTGTTTTAAGGCATTTTAAGGCTTGTTTTCCTGTACCTTTCAAATTGGCTATAAAACAGCCTAATTAAAGTCTGTCCTGTCAGGAAAAAGAATTTTATTGATTCCCTATGTTTTGCAGCTAGGCTTTAGGACTCAAACCAACGATATACAAAACAATTTTTAAATCATAATATGGGTTTCTCTTTTCAGAGTCACTTGAAGCTGTGGCACACAGCAATTCAAAAGTGCACAATCCATTATTTTTCAAACCTTTCAAAAAGAAGCTCCAAAGTGCTGCCCCTCAAATGGAAATGATTCAGCCATTTGTAAAGCACTACTTTTAGTGTAAGGAATGGAACATGGGATTGGGATTGCTCTATATGCCACAAACCATTCTGTTTGATGGTAAATCCTCCCTAAATTTCTCCTTACTTTTTTCCAAACAAGAAAGGGTGTAGAAGTGAATTCCCAGATTACCCCCACCAGTGCAAAAATCTTCCTACAGCACTTTGTTTCTAAAATTAAATTATTTTACTGGAAAAGAAAAGGAAGCTGCATTGTTAGGCAGACACCTTTAAATCTTCTCCTTTGGGATGCAACTAGGTTCTCTCTGGAATTGGGGAGAAACTTATTTCCTTCTGTGTACATGTGGCCTGTGCACTTCTCTTGATTTTTTTCTCCATATCTTTCTCAAGTGATAGAGACTGTGGGACTAGTTGGGCTTTGATGTGAATCTGTCTCTCCTATAGTTGTTTCTAGAGAAAGTCTAAAGACCTTTAAATATAAAAAGCTAAATTCTTTTACCTGAGCAACAGAACCTTTTTTACATAACAAAAGCTCAAAACAAGGAAGATAAAATGGAAATTAAAGTTATTAAACTTCATGTCTTGGAAGATGTTACTGAACATCTCCATCCCAGACCATAGTGCATGTCCTTGCTTCTAGGTAGCCACATAGCAGCTCCCACATGGGAGTAAACTGCTATCTAGGGAATTTCTTTCACTCTGTCACCCTTTTCAGGTCCTGGGATTGAGCCTACATAGACACATCAAACAGCTCTAGGGAACACTCCTGAACGCTGTGAGTCAGTGATTTACACAGACAAACTTCTAGATCAGTCACTGACTGTGCTAGGTGTTGAGCAAGGCCGTCCCTGAAAAATCCTGGGTGTGCTTCCAGAGCCAACATGGATGAACATCATTCCCAAAAGACGCACAGGACCCAGTCACCCTGTTTCAGAGGGTCAGAGAGTCTCATAATGCAGACAGGGGCTATTCCATGCCAGTTGAATGCAGTGTGAGAGATACCAGAGAATGGTATGGCAAACATCAACATAGGCTTAGTCTCTCCAGAGACCGTAATGTCTCTGCAGAGCATCTTAGCCTTAGCCACCATACAGGTGGTGATGGATCCACCCATCACGCCTTTCAACTCCCTCCTCTCCTGAGCAGCCTCCAGGACAATCTCTGTCTCCAATCTCAGTGCTTCCAGTCCAGTCAGTACTTTTTAAATTGACATGTCAAAGTAGTGCACAAAAACCAAATAAGCAATTGCTGGGATTTTTGTTTATATATAAAATCAAGGCAAATAACGAGTACTGTGAGTCTACTCTGCAACACAGAGAATCTCCGCAATGCATAGTTCACTTACCCAGACCAACACTGGCTGCTGATTTTGCATAAATAAGCATTTTCTCACAGGCTTAGTAGGTATTTTATGAAGAACCAAAGAAGGAGGAATAATTAATGCATCAGATATGATTTGCCTACTGGGATCATCTCACCACAACAGTTTTCCAGCCATGAAGAAGCCTAAACCACTGGTTGTGCTTAGGTCTGTTGTTACCTCTACCTACAGCAATCTGAAATGAGACATCTGGCTTAAATAAATCTTAGATATTACAAAATATTTGTGTGAACCTTATTGACCTGTGGTATAAAGAAGGTCAGACTAGATGACATGATGATGTCATCTGTCTCTTGCTTCAGCAAGGCTAGAAAAAACTGACATTTTCAATAATGTTTGGTCAAGGTATGTTAGAAGCACAAATGAAATTCCTTTGTGATATAAGTTTTCAACGAGGCCTCCTGGTCAACCTGCAGTTATATCCCATATGATTATCATAAACCAAGCATCTACTTCAAGTAAATATTCTGTTAGGTGAGACAAAACAACAAAAGAAAATGCTAACATATCCCACTTCTCAAATCAGCTACCCACTGAGAAAGTTAAGTAACTCTTTTTCAAGGCTGTGGATTTCTGAATAAGTAAAAAGAGATAAAAGCCTATAATAAAGGCTTCAGTATAGATGACAGAGTCTTAACATGACTTTTGAGCATATGTTTATGCATTTTATATTAATTTCTTTTTCCTTTTTCTTTTTACTGAATCTGCTCTGATGTTCAAAAAGCATAAATGAATTTTCATTAAAAAGGAACAATGAAAAAATGAAAGCTTCTTTTAACAAAAATTTAAAAGTGGGAAATTGTGCTGTGATAATTATGCAGCAAAGCATGGGTATACACTGTATTTTAAAAAGGAGGAATTATGTAGGTATAAGTAGAAAACAAGACGAAATGCTGACAGAACTGGCTAGAAACAAGTCTCTTTAAGAGGTAATGTATTAATTTCCAGAAAAATGGTTATTAACCCTATTTTGAAGTGTCCTCGTTTCTTTCTTTTTCCTGTACACTCCTTTCAGGTTAATGGTTCTGTAATACTTGAATGAAGAACAGTGTACTTTCTTGCATTTAGTCTAGGTTTCCAACCAAACAGTAAAAAAGGAGTAGACTTTACACATTGTGGTGCAGAGAATAGGAAAGAATCCTTCTGTGGTAGAATTTAACCTTTAAAAGGATATAAACCAGAAAGTGAGAGAGAATTTAAATGGGAAAAAGAAGGGAAGTAAAAAGTCAGAAAGGGACCAAAGGAAAGAAAAAATAGAGAAAGCATAGGTAGAGACAACAATTTTTTAAATGTGAGAGATTTATATTTCTGCAAAAGAATTGAAACTACTACAGTAAAGAGAGGAAGACAAACAATTAGCGACATGAAAGAATAGATTTTACAGGTCTTCATTGTACGGAAACTGAAGATTTTTAAACAGTGGATATATTTTCCTCACTCTATATCAAATTTTGAAACCTTAAACCAGCTGAAAAACATAGGAAGATGTTTGTACAGGTCTGCAAATAGTGACAGAGAAGTCATGTGAATTCAGATGGAGGGACTGGGTTGCATGTGAGGACACATTTTACAGGAGTTATTTTTTATAATTTTGGAAGGAAAAGAAAATGAGAAAAAAAATGTAAAAGTTTTAAGGACTTAATAAAGAGGATCCTGTGATTTGGAGAGAAGTCAGAATAAACTTTCCGAAAGGTAAAAACTGTTGAGAGAAATCCCTACACCAAATGTGGGATCTATACACCAACAGGACCTCTCTGATGCTGCTGACAGCATGTCTGCAGAGGGACTAGCAAGAGAGGGGCTGCTGCTAAGAGAGGGACACATGGCTCAGGTGCCCCAAATGCTCATAAGTACTGAGAGATGGTGTTAAGAAAGGAGGCACTGTGACTTAAGGAAGCTCTTCAGATCTGCTCTGAAAGCTGCAGGCAATTTAGCAGTCAGTGCTTTTGTGCTCCATCCTGAAAACAGGTATTGCTGGAGCACTAAGGTGAAAGAAGCCTCTTTGAACAGAAACAGTAAGCATTGGGGGGAGAATAAAATAGTGAGTGAGAAGAAGTAGGTGACAGGAAGAGCAGGCTGAATCATACAGTACTCAGAGACTTACATGTGCCCAGTTATCCATACACCCACTGAGTCTGGCTTAGTAAAACTCTTACCACTCATGTCAACTTCTATAACCATCAGTGGTCACGTCTCACTGACTTACACTTAAAATGTCTTTCATTTATTGGATTCTAGGGGATTTCTTCTGTTGTGAATGTCTCAGTGGGACATCCTTCAACTCTGTGTGGTAATCTTTGATACTTTTAAATGGAGAAAGGAGAAAACAATATTGGAACACGGAAGATGTCTTCTGTACTGTGAATATGACAAATAATTTCAAACTCTCTGGAACAAGATGCAGAGGAAAACCAAGAAGTAGGAGGTAGAATAAAAATAGAAAGGGAGTGAAAACAATCTAGAATTATTCTAATTTTTTCAGGGGACATGACCATACCAGTTACTTTATAAAGGTAGTTATATATTTAATATATGTTTAATACCCATAAAATGAGAATACATAAATAGAAATAAAAAGGCCTAAAGATTAAAGACTTTTCTGGTTGACTCATGGTTTATAACTGAAACAGGATACCTGAAACTAAGGTACATCTTTTAATGTACAATTTGAAAGTTACAACAGCTACAAGACTTAATCCAGTCTAAGAATAAAGAAATTAACATATTAGCTAACATAATGTGTAAGGTGTTGCTCATCTTGAAGTTGGTGTAATTGTGCCTATGTCACAGGGATTGAATGCAGAAGAGTTGGCACTGTATGTTGTCTCCTGAGAATGCTTATCAAATATCAGCACTGCTGCTAGAACTGTGAGTTCTGTCTCCTCCTGGTAATATCCCCTAGAGGCAAACAACAGTGACTTAAAGTAATGTTGATCACAAAAGTAAAATAACTTTATTAAGATGTGAGTAGCATACTCAGAAAACAATGTATAATAGACATATGTGCAAGGCTACTTCAATTTTGCTCTCTTTACTATTTTTGTTTGTTTGTTACTGGTTTCTTAAAATGCATTTATGTGTGTGCATTGTTCCATAACGAGAATTTTTCTGCCTATATTCCCCTGCCCACTTAAATTTAACAACATTTACTGTCATTCCTCTGAAATTAGGAAGTTGAACTGATTTTGAGCTCACTGCAGAGATTCCTCACAAATGGCTTTTCAGCACTCCATGCATAAAAAGAGTTTTTTCCTGCAGAGTATTGACTAAAAATATACTTACCAAGTGTAATAAAATTTAGCAACTGCATATTGTCAGATCGACTCTTACCACTCTGATTCCTAAGACTAAAATAGTAGACTAGAAAGTAGTCAAAGTTGTGAACAACTGTCCCTTCTGAATCATTCTGAATTACTGTGACCAGAACCGGGAACTTTTCCCAAGTCCTGTAAAAAATTTTACTTTAAATTACATACAACTCCAACATACTTGGGGTGAACAATATGAGGAAATAATGTATTACTCTTTTGACATTAAAAATCATGAATAAAAGAAAAGCAGTCAATTGTAGTTTATAAATGGTATTTTAGAATATTGAAATATTGATATTAATTAGTCCTAAAAAGAGAAAGATAATGGGACAAGAAATGTTGTTGGAACTATTTTTCCCTCATCAACAGAAGAAAGAAACATTCACTAAATCTTTTGAAAAGCAAAAAGGATAACAGTGAAACCATAAGAACTATCATACATCTATGAAATTTCCAACTTTAGTTTCAGAGCAAATTTATTTTGAAATTAGTGCTAGTGAAGTTAGTGCTATGTAGTGTTGCTCTGATTTTCTTGTCAACTTTATGGCTAATGAAGGGAATCAGTATTATGTAATTAATTTTGATAACTCAAATCTGTCAATTGAGACAGAGCACTATTACTTTTAATATTGATTATTCTTTCTCTTAAAAAGATCACTCTATATAGCTTGCTTTCAGTTATGAATGTGTTTACCTTTCCTGGTAATTTCACATGCCAATATAACCTGTACAAAATCAGTGTCTTTGTCAGTTATCGAATGTACTGAATTAAAGCCACATTCCAAGCTTGCTACACTCACTGAATGCTGTTATTAAAGGTATCATGTACAGACTTCTGACAATACAACTCATAAGGTTCTGTTTATATTACTATAATCCAGACGGAGACATATAATTTATACTGGTCTTCAACAAAGAAAATATATGAAGACTTCAGGTTTTATTGCCTTTCATTATTAAAAAATAATTTAAATAGCCAACAAGACTGCCTGCATTATACTGAAATCATCACACTTCAGTCTGACTCTGTCTAGTAGTACGCTTCAGTTGCACCAATTCAAAATAAAAGGATAGAGATAGTTCTGATAGTTAGAGCAGAAAAACAGGATATCCTTTTCCTTGTTTCTCTTTCTGACTCTGTTCTCATTCTCCGATCCTACTTACACTGCTTAATATTCCCAGTACTAATTTCCTCTACTGGGCACACTGCATCATCACCTACATCTTTGTGGAGAGTATTTAAGGCAGAACTAATGCAGACATGCTGGAGAGAAATTGTAAGTGTGGAGGCAAACAAAATAACTACAGAGCTGACTACCCCCCATGCTATAAAGAAGGTGTATCTTACCAAGTTTTTAGAGAAGGAAATGGTTATAGAACACCAAACCCCAGAAAGAGAAAGATAATGGGGGGAAAATTCTGTGGAAATTCTTTTAAGCAACATTGTATTTAGTTTCGATAAAGCAGCAGATTATGTTCCAGGATCTGAAGTGTTGGGTTTTGAGTGCAGAAGAGTTTGTAGAAAAAAATATAAGAAAGGTGAGTCTGTGTCTTTTCTCCTTGAGTAGAAGCTCAGAGAAGTACAAAAAGATGCAGGATTCCAGCAGATACTGATTACCACCTTGAGGGAACAGAGTGAGAAACCTTAGCTCCCTGAAGCTCCCTGAAATGCATCTTTGCTTCCAGAAGAGCAGTGTGCCATATTTAGATAAGACCTGTTCACTTCTCATCTGTACAAACATTGAACCAGTAGAAAATGATATTTTCTCTTCTCTTAGGGAAGCGTAGGTGCAGAAAGGCTGCAGTGGAATTAATCTACTCTAGTGTTAACCAACTAATGGATATCTAAGCTAAGCCATTTTTAAAGTCTTCTTTTATTCTCAACAATGGAATAGAGAAGGGAGGCTTTGCCCCAGTACAGAAGTGTCATTGCTCATAGAGAGTGAGTACACAATGAATCTGATTTTCAGTGATTTACCATCTCTTTACTTTTATTGTTTTGCTGTCTGTGACATCATGTAATATCATGTCATGTCATGTCATTCAATTCAAAAAGTCTGCTAAATTTAAAATAGTATTAGAGTTTAATCGAGCAATCTCAAAGACTTCTGTTGTGCAGGACTCTCATTCAAATCAATGGAAATGTATGTTCATAAACCTGGAAAAAAATCTATGAGGTCTAATTATAGGCAGCTTAATTGCTTCTAGTAACAGCACTGAAAAAAAAAAATTCACAGCTTTTTCTAAGACTGCAGTAATTCTGCAAAAATTCCACTACAATTCATTGAAAGAGAAAGGAAAGCTTTTGGTCTCTCTCATATTAGGAGGCATTTATAATTAGTAGTATGTTAATTTTCATGGAAATTATGTTAATTTTCATGGAAATAAAGTTTTTATAGGAATTTTCATATGTGTTCCACTCTCTAAAAATAAAATATCACTTTCTCTAAGTAAATTTTAATACCGGGTATGTTAGCAATGTCTTATTTATCACCAGATTTTTACCTACTGTGCATTGTATACTATTGACTGGAAAGAATTTCACAAGAACCATTCTCTTGCAAAGACTGTATATTTTTGAAAGTTATATTTTTCTGGATCACATAAAAATTTACCTGTTGCTTATAGGATAAAATTAAGGATAATATACTAATAATAATATGTGAGAAAGAAAGCTTCCTGAAAACTTGTCTGCTTTGACTAGATAAATAATCTGGTTTAATAAATCATGTTACTTCTCATATAAGCCTTGTTCTTCTTGCATATCAAGGCCATCAAAATGCTAGGGTAATATGTAACTTTCTCAAACATTATTTGTAGCTAAAGCAGACACAGAACTTCTTCTTATTTCTCAGCAAAATATCTAGCAAGTAGCAAAAACAGAGTGGCCAGGCCTTTACAAATTTCATGTGATGGATAAACTGTGATGTTATTAACTTGCTATTAGTCACAAAATTTTGAGCCTATTCTTAAAGCAAAGAATTTTCTTAAGAGTATGTTAATTTCTCTTCAGAGGTAAATGGAATGGTCTCTTCATGATCACCATGTTTCAAGTAGTTTCTGTGATTTGAAGACTGAAAAATAAAAACCAATGTGAACTATAGCTGAAAGTCTTGACAGAAAAAATAAGATAATTGAAAAAATTGACAGAAAAATTATGAAGCGATAAAGCGATAAGGCAACAAAGCTTCATAATATTGTCAGCATGTACCAATATTCATTCCATGAGTCCAGCTACCACCTCTATTTGCTTTTATGATGAAAAACATTTCAGTTTACAAAATATCACGTGGTCATAATCAGATGCCCTAAGTAAGATTCCCTGCTGTTGGTGAATAGTTTGATGCTAACAGATGCACAGAATGAGCAGTAGCATTGTTTGAGTTTTATCCTACACTATAAAATTGAAGTACTTTGGAGAATTTAGAAATAGATAGTTAAAATATTTCTAATTTTGAAAATTTTACATAAAATAGAGGACACCTTTTGGTGAAAATTATTGTAAAAGATCCTTTTTGTTATTAATGTTTTGTTTGGGGCTTTTTTGCTTGTTTGTTTTGTTTTGTGTGACTGGATCTAGACTGCAGGGATAGATAGTGCCATGGTTATTCATGTTTAAATAAGGAATTTTTTTTCCTGAATTTTTTTTTTTTGTGAGTTACAAGATTTTTTCCTAAGAGTAATTTAAGGAATTGTCAAAAAGCCAAAGGAAATAATTGTAATACATAATTTAAGAAATATCCTAATAGAAATCAGAAGGCAATGTTACATTAGGCTGCTATAATTTTATTTACAGCTATTAAAATTATAAAGTACTTAAAGGGAAAACAATTAAGATAACGGGAATTAGTTTGTTCCAAATGGAAATGGATAAAGGGAGTTTTGATTTGTTTGTGCTGAACAACTTGTCTTCTGATAAACCACATCATGTATTTTCCTTTCAGTTCTCCAGGTAGTATAGAGAAGGCCAACACACTAAAGTTCTTATCTCTGCAACTTCTCTTTGGAAATGTAGCCCAATGTGGATGTGGTAAAAGTCCCTTTTTATATCTGCCTCATTTTGTTGGAGAATCTTGAATGGCTTTAAAGGCCTTTCTTCAGCCTGAAAAGTCCTTTTCATTTATTCTCTTGGTTTTAAAACTACACATGTTATATTCTTTCATATTCCTATATGACAGTGATTTAAACAATAGTGCTGTTGCTGGAGCGAATAAGAATTTCTAAGGTCTGGTGGCAGCTTTCAATAAGTTCAGGTGCATGTCATGGTGATGATGTGCTTCTTTTGGCAGTTAATCATCTCGAGTAGAAACGTTAAACTTCATTCTCTGATAAATAGAGGACATGAAGAAGAAAGCCATAGCATCTCACCACGGGATGCATTTCTAGTCTAGTGATTTCTGTAGATTGTCATTCTTATGCTGTACCTCTTATTCTGTTCCTAGATTGTCAGCTTATTTTTGGCATTCTCCTAGACCATTGTGGTTCTACCTGACATCCATAATAACTGGATTTTCTGGTGTTTTTTTTTGTTTGTTTGTTTGGGGTTTTTTTGGTTTT